CAAGGTTTTCTTTTATATATGTAAACATAAAGTTTTTTTTTCCCATTTGGTTGGTTTTCATCTCAATCATGGTTATAGATTTCAAATATGGTCATCCAAAGAAAGACAACCCTATGAGACAAACCCCATGAATCGACACAAAGGCAACCAATCCATCTTTGTATACGTTTTACTTTGTTCAAATCTTTCAACTTTTCACCAATGTAGGACAACTAAAACTAACCACAATTCACCATTTGAAAATACTCAATTCTCATTGTGCCACCTCATCACCGCAAGGTTTTACTTTTATAATTCTCATGGTATCATCTCATCACTCCAAGGTTTTACTTTATATATATATATATATATATATATATATATATATATAAAGATATAATAATGTAATATAATTGATTTTGCACTATAATTTCTACTATTTAGTTTGTTTGGTTTCCAACCATGGTTATAGATTTCAAAGAGGGTCATCCAAAGAAAGACAACCCTATGAGACAAACCTCATTATTTGACACAAAGACATTCAATCCACCTTTCTTTTACACTTTATTTTGTTCAAAATTTTCAACTATTCATCAATGTGGGATATCTCAAACTCAACCACAATTCACCAACACCTCAATACCCAATTCTCATGATGCGACCTCAAACACACTCATGATTCTTTTTTTAATATATATATATATATATATATATAGATACTCAATTTTCATTGTACCACCTCATCACCGCAAGATTTTATTTTTATAATTCTCATGGTGCCACCTCATCACCCTAAGGTTTACTTTTATATATATGAAGATATAATAATGTAATATAATTGATTTTGCACTATAATTTCTACTATTTGGTTTGTTTGGTTTCCAACCGTGGTTATAGATTTCAAAGAGGATCATCCAAAGAAAGACAACCCTATGAGGCAAACACCATTATTTGACACAAAGACATCCAATCCACCTTTCTTATACACTTCATTTTGTTCAAATCTTTCAACTATTCACCAATGTGAGATATTCCAAACTCAACCACAATTCACCAACACCTCAATACCAAATTCTCATAATGCGACCTCAAACACACTCATGGTTCTTCTTTTAATATATATATATATATATATATACATAGATTTTCTATCTTCAAAATACCTATCCTATCATTTTTAGGGGTGTTTGGGATTTGATTATTTGAAACAATTTATCATTTTCTACAAAAGTCTTTATCAACTTATTATAAGTTGGAATGATTTAACTTTTTCAAAAACTCCTTATTTACCGGTTTGGTACTGGTATAAGTTGTTTATCCAAACACTCAAAAATGTTTATTACCGGTGTCACACCGGAATAAGTCAATAAATTGTTTTTATAAACAATCTCAAATACCCCCTTAAAAAACGTAAGATATTGAGGTTTGGTTCGTTGGAATTTTATTCATGAGTTTGGTTTATTATTTTAATTTTTTACATGATGAATTTTAAATATTTTGGATTTTAATAAGGAATTTGAATTCTATTAATATTGTCACCGTCGTCGTCCCCTCCCGTATAACTGCCACCACTACAATCATCGTATTCACCACCACTTTCTACGACACCGTCACCGCCATTGCCACCAGTTATTATTATTATCATTATTATTAACTTTATCATCATATAATAATTATTAATTAAGCAATAAAGTATGACAATATATGAAGGGATATTTTGGTAATTTATCACTATCTTGTTATAATTTAGAAGTTACATTTAGAGAACCAGAAAAACATATTTAAATTCTTTTGACATATTTCACTTTAATATTTGTCAATCAAACGTTTTTTTCAAATCCGATTAAATTTCATTCAAATTTCTTCAAATTTCAATTTATTTAACAGATTCCAATTCCGAGTTTCCGACATATTACATTCTATGAACCAAACCTTACAACAATATTTACACTATGTCAAAAAAAAATTGTGGTTGCATGAGTATCCACCGGCAACCTTCCCCCCCCCCCCCCCCAAAAAAATCTGCCACTGGATCACAACTAGGTATGAAATTCATATTAATCAATTTATATAACGATGTATCTAAATTTGTTATTTATTAATAAAACAAAATTCAAATTTAAATTTGCAAAATCTAATGTCTAAATTTGGATTTGTTAGATAATATATCGATTCAAATAATATCATAAGTTGGTTCAAGTCAAATTTGTCCACATACAACTTTTCTAAGACCTTTAACGATGTTGCATCCAAATTTAACACTATAAAATTGAATTTTAAACGCGTACACCAATAGAAATGTGCGCATCGGGGGGGGGGGGGGGGGGGAGTATTTCCGTTACAACTAGTAGCTAATTGTAGATCGCTACTAGCTTTCTTAGCTCGTTGTAACTCGTATGTCCATACTTGGCCAACGAGTATCAATTCGTAATGAATCCTAAGAATTTCTTTTACTTTAAAAGTCATGAAGATAGGTTATAACGATAAAATGTAAAAACAAAAATAAAGATGATAAAAATTATAAATTTTCATAATTTCGAAACCCATACTAATTTCCAAAATTTAAATAAATTGTTACTAACAAGAGCTAGAAAGTGTTTTTTTCCACTGAATTAATAGATATCTCAATCAGAATACACGATACTAAAGCATAATTTATTTACGGGGATGTTCGGTTGTGGCTTAATGGTTGTATAGCCTATATGTCTTATTCGCTCAACCATAAATAGCTATTCGGTTTGTAAAATGACTTATTTAGTCAGCTAAAAAAGTAGAGTCATTACCTTTTTATTCCCCTTTTACCCTTCGTTCATCCCCATTAATCAAATCATAAAACCTTTTGTCTTGAACCTCTCCATCTTCACATTCCGGGGCACCACACCAATGAAAAAGAAAAAACATGGAAAATGAGGTTTGATTTATGATGTGTCTCCCCTCTCTATTCCCTGAAATTATCCCACCAACAATTAATTTTGATTATTGACTTTAATTTAAAGATTTTAGGTTTGAAAAAAAAAATATGTTGAATGAATTTGTTCTGATTTAGGTTTGATATGTTTGAAAATTAAGTGGTTTGGAATTGGGTTAAAAAATATAGACTGAGGGGTAGAATGGTTAATTATGACATTAAGACTGTCTATTCAGTACAACAACCTAACAATAATTTATATTATATTATACACACAACTTTATTTATAAGGTTTTAATGGAAATCGAACCGAACAACCGTTAAATAAGACCATAAAAGGCCTTACGACTTGTGCTCTATGGATATATTTGGTACACAAGAAATTATTTAAAAAAAAAAACTTATTTTTGACACGACATTAAATTGAATGAGATTGAATGTGAGAAAAATGCATTTCTTTTTTTAATCTTATCAAAATAGATTGAATAAAAACAAAAAGAGATGAGAGAAGATTTGATAAATTAAAGGTGTCGTTGTATCAAAACTAGGTGTTATATCGAAATTTAGAAATAAAAGCCTTAGAGGCACTATTTATCGACGCTTACTCGATAATCGCTTATCAGGAGGAGGCATCACACTCACTTGTCTTATCATGTAACACTCTCAATGATCAAAATGGATTGTCGGTAAGTGTTATAAACCCTATAAGCGCTTACTAGGTAAGAGTCATTACTCTTACTTACCGTGTAAGACTCTCTCGATCATTGTTTTCCCTCTTGTCAGGTATGATTATTGGTTCTTATTTATGTTCATCCGGGAAGGTAATTGAACCGGTAAGTACTTACGAAGGTAAACGTTTAGTAAACAGCTTCGTAATATTGATGTTAGAAGTATACTCATGCAATGCAGTGGAGTTCTAAAATCTAGATCTCGAACCCTCAATCATGATCCACACTTCGCTTTGTTGTTTATCTTTCACGATTTTATTTTACTGTTTTGAAAAAGTTAAAGATGGATTGATTATTATTTTATCTATCAAACTAAAGATTATAAAATTTTAAATATATTAGAAAATAAAAATGAGTATTTTATCTCACAATGTTTATCTATAATTACTTACACGAATTCAAACATAATGTTTTAACAACTTATATTTATGCTTAATCCAACATATAATCTTAAGTAATATTTATTTCATAGTTTTTCACCGACTCGTCCAGTCTCGTCCACATACCAAAGAAAAAAATAACATTTTTGAAGTTAAAACATTTTCATGTAATTTAATCTTATACTATATCATAAATCATTTGACAAAAACTCTTAAAAATCATTTGTTATGCATGAAGTACTATATATTGATGTATATTACTTAGAATTCAAAATTACAAGTAAATTATGCATAAGTACAACTTATTAAATCTTCATGTTTGAATTCGTGTAACTAACTGCGGATAAACATAATCAAATATAGGATAAACATCTCATTTTAAAATCTAAAATATAATTAGAATAATTATCAAGTTCTAACAAAATAATTAATTATTATATTTATAAAAAAAATAATTATGCATAAATACAACTTACTAAAGCTCCATGTTTGAATTCGTATAACTAACTGCGAATAAACATAATCAAATATAGGATAAATATCTCATTTTAAAATCTAAAATATAATTAAAATAATTATTAAATTCTAACAAAATAATTAATTATTATCTTTATAATAAAATTATATTATCAAACCAAATATAAATTACTTTGTTATTGAACCTAATTAAATTATAATAAAAAAATTAAACTAAAAATACACAAAAATAAGAAATTTTAAATAGTTAATTTGATATTAATATCGATATAGTTTTGTCAAATTTTATAATATCTTCAAATTTATATTTTATTGAAAAAAATACATCGTTTTTTCAAAATCACATAAGGACCATATTATAACATCGACTGAAATAAAAAATAAAATAACATATTAAAATCAAGATGTATTTCACTGCATTGCGCGAGTACCCTTCTAGTTTAAAATAATATAAAACATTTTTTTTAATTGAAATGTAGTTTAAAAAGGATACTAGTTAAAATAAAAAGGATTGTGTCTTAATTTTCTCCAAATCATCAGGATGACCAATGAATAACGTCAAGAGACAGAAACAAACGTTTTCAACCATAAAAAAGAAGCTGACCAATTTTCACTTTGCAAAGCAAGTTTTCCAACAAGTAGTTAAGAACATAAGGCTTATTTTCCTTTTCTTTCAATGACCACCCCTTTTTGTAACTGCACTTGGCACAGCAATTGAAGTCGGTCAAAATGCGCATAAATGCGCATACGAGGTTGTCGTTCGGCTCGGCTGTGTTTGGTTATATATATATCCTCAATCCAACCTACACTTCCCGAACCACGGCTCTGTTTCTTTTTTTTTTTTTTCAATCTACAACAATCTCTCTCGGCTCTCCTTTTGAGCCCCCAATGTATACATACACAAAACACTCACTCTGTTATTCACTTGTTCGAGTTTTTATTCTATCCGTTGATAGATGCCCGAGGCTTTTAAGTCGGGCAATGATCTCTTTGAATGATGGCCGCAACTGTGGCTCCCTGCACAAATAAATAATAAGTTAGACCTAAAGGGTATGTATTCCCATTAGAAAGTACAAAGTTATGTTTCGCAAACTAGCCGATAAACTCATCGCCCTAAAAACTACTGGTAGACAAGCTAGATGATGATGTAAAATTACCTAGAAAGACAAGTTAAAAATTACTCGGTTCTATAATAAGCATAATTAAAAAAAAAGTGAAAAAATGCTCCGGGAGCTTATCGGAAAACTATTTAAAGTAGCTTTTCAAACATCAAAGAGTGTTTTTTCAATAAGCTCATAAAACAAACTGCCTTATCATTAACAAACAAGCCATAATGACAAAGAAGGGGGGAAGACAAACAATCTCTAGAAGGCAATGATCCTAAAAGCAAACAATCAAAAAAGAAGAAACAGAAAGAACGTAGCTTAATATGCATAGTCATCGTAACATAAAGATCCCATGATGGTCTTCTACGTTCTGTAGGCCCTTTTAGATCTAGACTCACTATTGTAGAGTAAAGTCAAAAGGTATGGCACCCCCTTCCACTTTTGAAAAAAGGAATGAAACCAAAATGACCCTTGTGTAGTTGATTCCCTTTGCAATGCTTCATAGCTGATCAGCAGCATAGTGGTCAAGGAAGGATGTTCAAAATTCAATTTGATATGAACATGTTATAATTTGCATATTTAATTATTTCAACGGATATGGAATTACTGATTTTGGATTCGGGATTCTGAGATCTGATTGGATCCAATAATTTAACAAGTATTTTCTTCTAAAGGAAGGGGCTGTATAACATTGACCTTCCTCCAACCTAGTAAAGAAATTGTGCACCTGGACATGGCACTTTGCAGGTGACCCATCCTGCCTTGAGGTTATTTAGAATGATAATCTTCTAATAAATTTTTTAAATGCACGACTTCATGACATATTAAGAACACTTATGCCTTCGGGTGGGATATACTATGTGATGCTTTGATTCTTACATGGGGATATAACCGATCACATTCATATCTATTTACATTCTACATCTATGTTGGATGTTCCTACTATTATAAAGCATAATACCAATTCCCAAAAACCGACTCCTACGGTTAAAGAAGAGATAGTCATAGATAAGTATTTAATGAATTAATTAAACAAATTATTTACAAAGCTAATGTTTAATCATCTTAAAGCCCATGCAATGAATATATATATATATATATATATATATATATATATATGTATATGTATATATACATACATATTTTAACAAATTTTAGTGAAAAGTCGTATATACTTTTGAATATCTACACAATTTCAACAAATTTTAATTTAGTATTAGAAAAACATTATTGGTTAATTGTACTTCCACGAATTTGCATGTAGCAAAAGCAACTAAAATTGATGTCATCTGATAGACACATGACTTTCATTAAGGTTAAAATTGTATGTGAATTAAGTTGTTGGTAAACGTCACTAGAAGAAAAGACCCGTATGCTACTAGCATAAAGATAACAGGTCCAAAACCCAAAGTTGACGTTTTGAATTTCACAAGCCTGGATCAATTTTTTACGATGTTCATGGACCCAATTAATCTTGTTTGCAGGCTTTCTAACTAGTTTAGAGAAGAAATAGTAATAAAGACTGATTGTAAGAACAGACTTACGGATGCCAACAATCACTTATTATCCGTGCAACCACAGGATCAAGATGCTCTGGAATGTCAAGGTGTCTGAACTGAAAACCAACAGCACCAACAACCTGCATTGAGTTCATTTCTGTCCAAGGTATGCGCAGAGTTGCCAACTCCCATAAAATTACACCAAAGCTATATACATCACACCTGCAAACCAGTCAAACATTTTTCAGCGCGATATAAAAAGATGAATGCAAACACATACTCAAGCCTAAGATTATCAATGTACAAAAGATGCCTCTTACTTCTCGTTGGACGGTTCATTCCTCAACACTTCTGGTGCCATCCATTCAGGCTGCAATACAATGGCACACCATCAGTACAACAATGTAGTAATTTCCTAACATGACATATTCCAACCCCTTCCCCCACAGCTAAATCACAACCATTATCCTTGAACAAAATCAACGCTGTTTCATTTTTATTTATTTATTTGCTTTTTAGGGAGTGATGATGGTCTTAACACAAATGTTATAAAGAGAGAAGAAATTAGAGGAAGTCGGATAAAGGGTACAGCAAGTATGTGTGTACAAGAGACGGAGAGAGTAAAAGTAGGATAATAGCATGTGACACATGATTGTAGGATAATAGCATGCAACACATGATTGTAGAAAGAGCTTACAGTTCCAGCAGTAGATTTTGAAGAGAGAAAGGTATTGTGTTTCATGCGTGACATCCCAAAATCGCATACCTGCATGCATTAAATATACAAGACAACTAAATGTCAAAAATCCCCTTAGCATATGATCATGGCTGCATGAGCGACACAAGAGTATGATTCTAAATTTGAAACTAGGTAAAACAGCACAAAATTAAATATGACGCAGAAAATAAGCCTAAGCAACCCAAATTTATCATGCTAGTAGGGAAACACTAACCTTAACAACCCAATTTTTATCAACAAGAAGATTTGGTGTCTTCAAATCCCGGTGCACAATAATTGGATTGCTAGTGTGCAAATAGTTCATTCCCTTGGCCTACAAGCATTTCTTGTAATTATAATAAAGAAAACTAAGAGATAAATGCTGAAGCATAATACTGGAATCAAACTTCTACCACATCAAGAGCCATACGCATCCGCCTCTTCTCATCAAGTTGGACATTAGATCGATGCAACAATTTAAATAGACTACCCCTGCATAGAAGCAAACAGGTAAACCAGGCAACATGAGAAATGGATAAATATGCAATATGCTCCAACTGATGTCAAGAAACAATAAATAAAAGAGTCGGGTATTCAGTCAACGATGCATATAAGTGCTTCATGTATAATTAAAGTCAATACAATAATGAATGTGCCCTGCAACTACCTTGGGGCATTATGATACTATCCTGAGCATGTTAGCATTATAAAGCAGCATTAAAGAAAAAACCAAAGCCCTTAAAAGGAAACAACGAAAACAACATGAAATATGAGGAGAAGTAACTTGATGCTAAAAAGAAGAGAAATCAATAGAAGATGAAACAGAAAGGGAAAGAGGGGATAATCTTCATTATTTGAAAGCATTGCCAAATCAACAAGATGATACTCTGCAATATCAAGAGGAGAGACCAAATATAATTCTAAGGAAATTGTTTTAATGCAGAACAGAAGGCACCCAAGAACAAATACTAACCGAACATGATGGAAAAAAAAAAGATTTGAAGTCGTAGGCCAATCTATGTAGCTCATGAAATTCACTAGTAACAGTCCCATCCATATAGCAATCATCGAGCACAATTTTGCAAAGAAATAGCCCACTTGTTTCTAGAGAAGAGAAAGATCTTTACCACACCACTTTAGGGGGCGGGGGTGAAGGGGGGGTTTACATGCAACCGAGGCAAAGTTGTTTAAAAAAAAACCAGATATGGGACTTCCCCTTACTATTTATAAGATTATCAAAAGCCCCTTTTATAGTCATAGGCCAAATAAAGTCCATTTTATTTTGTTTTTTTTAATTAATGCTAATGCTTTCTTGATTTGTTTCATTATTGTAAATGTATTTATCTATTTCGAGTTTATAGATCAGAGCCAGGAAAGGGTATGGTAAAGTTCAAGAATTGCTTCTACTCCCCCCATCCCAAAATAAACGTGTCATTTCCCTTTTTTGCCAAGGTTTAAGCCAAAATAACCTCTTTGCTCATTCGTACAAAGAATTGATGGTACTGATCTCAGTTCAAAAGTCCCCTAATTGGGAGTCCAAAAGAATGGAATTCTGGGGTTCTTGGCGTATGCTTACAGCCACGAAAAATATCATCGATTATTAATCTTATTTAATTACTAATGCTTACACAGCTGTATTCACCATTAATACATTAATACTACATCTATTTATGTGTTTTATGGAAAGAGCAGAAGTATCATTGTATCAATGAACTACAAAAGTATAACTTACAACAAGGTTGATGCATCATGCATTATAATTCAATGATGTAGCTCTTTCATCCAATAAAATTGAATCATTATGTGTTCTCTTCTGTACATAGTGTTTTGATTATAACTTCGTATTTGAGTTTTTGTTGGAAACCCAGAAGCGTCGATTTTCAATCTTTAGCCCGCTCTATGGAATCCTTGCAGAGAACCATTTTGCAGGATAAACAATGGAAATGTGCTGGATGAAAAAAAAAAGTCCCTTCCGCAAACTCCTAGACCATTATCCTGTCTAAAAGTCATACATAAAATAAAATATTCACAATACCAACCAACAGGTCCGATTAATATAAACTTCCAGACATGCATGTTTTCGCCATACCCTAAAACTTAAACAACCATCTTTCTTAATGTGCTTCAAAAAATGAAGGGCGAGTATCAACTAGTATGAACCAACAAAAGTAGCAAACTGGAACAGATTGAGTCCAGCAAATAAATGGAACCAGATTTGTATGATTACGTTATTGGCTCCAAATATCTATATTTTAAGAAATCCTTTCTGGGTTCAATTTGATAGAATGGATCAATTCCAATACTTTGGTTTGGTTTTCCTCTTGAACCTTTCATAGAAAAACATCAACTTTCAAAAAAGCTCAGCTTAACTATTGTTCAATGTTCTTGTGATTTATCATCCACAATTTATATGAGCTTCAAGAATTAGTTGCTGCATTTTCAATTTTGTTAAAGCAGATTACCCATGATATGAAAAAAAAAATAGACAATGCAATGAAATTTTATAAAGACCATCTAGATGTATATTGTCTCTAGTTCTTGGTTAGATGTGCAAGGTGATGAAAATTTAATTCTATACAAGCTTCCTTATGTAGAACCTATATCCATTCAGACATCTTTGTCCAAACAGAACTTATAAAAGAACAAAAAACAGGCCCAGTTTAAGGCACTTTTGACTTGACCCAGACTACACAAAGATGAGAATAGATTCTCAGACAATTTTGCATGTTAGCACCACCAGTCCCTATTAAGTTGTGATTGAGTGGACAAACAAGTCCTCGGATTCCCTAGTAGACAAATCACAAAATGATAGACTTTATAATTCACTGTTATCCTCTTAACGGCTAGGCTTTTCCTCTAGAAAAGGATATAATACTTGAATAGATGCTTATACTCCAAATGTCAGTAAGCAATTCATCAAGTACATGGGTTCTATAAACACGAATATCTGAGGCTAACAATCAACAAGCATGGTTTAATTCAGCCCTGAGCCATCGAACAATATAATGAACTCGACCTGTTGTCGGTTCTACTTTTCCCAATTTTAGGTTTTGGGCTGACCCAATGTTAACAATGATGATAGTGGTAACAACAATGAAAATAATAAATATTTTTTTGAAGTAAAAAATAATAAACATTAACAGATGGGGGATTTCAGTGTAAGAGATAAAAAGGATATGTTAAAAGTAGAATTCTAAATTTATAATCGATGAATAGTGACACGAAACATGCCTGGAAAAGAACCTAGATGTCTTGTTGGGAACGGAGATTTCCTTGAGACTGTTCAAGTCCAAATAAGAAAAACTTCTTGGATTAAAAAAAGTAACCAACTTTGATGACAATTACAGGGCGGTCAGTGATTGTTGTGGGCCCTTCACTTGCATTACATTGATGTTGAAAAAATTCCTTTATTTCTGGTGGAATTTTCGCTTCTGTGATTATAAGTTAATTGCATACTGGCCAGACCCAGAATAGTGTTGTATTTTCATATCCACATACACTCAGTTAGTGCTGACCACAAAAACCTTCATAATTCACACAAACACATAACCACTGAAAATAGCATATAAGTAAGATCAAGAAACATAAGCAATAGAAAACACTGAAAATGGAGATTTCGTATTACTCCACAAAAAGAAAACAATTATCTCAGAAGTAGTTTAGTAAGAAACAAGAACTCAACCTTGGAAGAAATTCTGTCAATATGGAAAGATTTGGTGGATGAGTAACTGCTCCCATGAAAAGAACAACATTAGGATGTCTCAACCTCAACATGATCTCAACCTAGAAAACAAAGAGCTATGCACTGAATCAAATCCTTTTATAAAAGAAACCCACATTGTAATCGTTAAATGAGACAATTAAAAAGTTCGGGCACTTACTTCGCCTTTAAATTGAGTGAGCGCATCGCCTGAGATATCTTGGTTCATGAACTTCTTCACAGCCACCTCCTGTCAGCAAATATCAATCACTAAATTGAAGTAAAATAGCACCAAAGCAGTCCACCTTTCTCCAATTTAAAAACTCATGATATAGAGGTACAAAGAAAAGTGAGTTGGCATTTAAAGACAATGATAATGCTACTTCCAACCATATATTTTTGCATCTTTGTCTCAGAAATAGATTGGGGCATGATCAGTCTTGATAGAGCTTATAGAACGAAAACTAGCAGAACATAATGATCAATTTAATCAACTAAACATAATATCTTTCAGCAACACCCTGTTCTAAAATACTACAACTGTTCCAACTAACAGAACTTGCACTACTATTGTAATACAACAAAATGATAAAAGATTTGGATGCATCTTACAGTTCCATTCCATTCTGAACGATAAACCTCGCCATAGGAACCTGGAAGAAAGGGAATAACATGTGATTATTACGTGGAATAATATCTCATGCACACCTCACACCCTCTTGAGGCATAACTTAATAATACAAATTTCACAAATGAGCTAATTGCCAACTAGAAGAATCCAATGTTTCACTAATTCTAAGCAAAACCATAGCAATATTTTGTGAAATCTGAAAATGAGAAGCATCTTTAAATAATCACTTCCAGCATGACAAGCGCATCAACTACTAGAAAATTAGTTAAGCATATGATTGGCTGGTCAAACTGTCATTTATTACAAGCTAAACTTCGTAAGCACTTAACAAGCATGCAATATCATTTTGAATTGTAATAAAGAGCATTAATGTACAACAATGTTTAAGATGAAGGTCCTTTACAGATTGTAATGTTTTCATTTCCTTCTGCAGAACTTTGAAGGTGGTAAGGTTTAACATCGTCATCATAAATATTGGTTCCTAAAAAGCTGCAGACAAACGGAGAAATTGGACAGAGTTGAATGTGGTCTAAATTCCTATATATTTGACATTCAATTCTAGCGTACATGTACAAGTCTTCTGTATATATTCAATGATTCAAAGAGGCAAAAGGTTCCAACAAATCAGAATGAATCCAAAGTCGACATTTTGTGGAACATTAAACTAAAATGCATACCAAAAATAGAGGCAATGAAAATGCACGGTACTAGAGCAAGGGGGTTATTTTGAATGAACTCTACTAAGCACGCCCCTCTATCCCAAACTGACTTAGACATTTATGGAGGATCAGGTGTGGATGTTTGTATAACATCTTGTTCTCAATTTGGCTGCCTGTTCAATTCTAGGCAATGGTTTTTTCTTTCCTTATAGAGCTTCTTCTATTAAAAGCTTGATCTCTCTTCTAAGCTCTAGCACAATTGGAGAGAGAAAGAGAAACAAACACACACACACAAAAGAATTGAGTAGCATCATAAATAATCAATTAATGACAAAATACTGAATTAAAAAACAATAGTAGACACATTTAATCGAAGAATAAGTATATAGACTATAGTAATAAATACTTCATAGCATGTCTGGCCTCACTCACTTTTAATTTAAAAATCATGAACCCAGCACACACTTCTATATCTAGTTAAAACTCCATCTCAGGACTGAGAAGTTTACAATCGGTATATCTTAATCAGCCTCAGTTTTTGGACTTGCACAATTCAGCCCAATGCTAGATAATTGTCAATCATGTGTTTCAGGTTCACAATATACTTTTACATAAAATGGATACAAGTATATTCTTACCGATACCAATGCGTCCTCCAATCTGAAGATCCTCCCATGGAATTTCCCATTCAACCTCATCAAGGCTAATCCCTTCCCTCTGATTGCTGCAAGATGTATAGTGGCCAATACGGGACGTTTCCACCAATTTCATGTCTGAATGTTTGCCTTTTCTAGTATTATCTGCTCTTGCCTCGTTTATCAGGCAAGGTCCGCCACCAGCAACACCATCTCCATATTGTCTTTCAATAGAGTTTACTGCAGAGGACACTTCATATTCATGACTTTGCTTCACAGTTAATACTTATGAATCCAGCATACATAAATCAGCAAAATTCTTACCAACTGCATGATCATTCATGGCATCTTCACCAGTACTACCATGACCATGTACAAAACCAGCACTTGTCGATTGAGATGGTAAAGTGTATCCAAGATTATTTTTATTGGACATCAATTGTTGCTGTTTAGCTGGTAACCAGTTAACTCCAAGCTGGGAATTGTCATCAACATTGTTAACCTCAGCTGCAGTAAAAGATATAAGATCCTGCTCATAGTTAGACATGACTAGTGGCGGGCCATGCTGAGCCCCAACATTCAACATGTCAGTATCTAGCAAATGAACTGTCTTGCACACTTCTGTCTCTCCCACTTCGTCGTTATTTACATCAAAAAGTGAATCAGAAGATGTGCCACCACTCTTTGACAACACTGCATGGAGTTTTTGGGCAAATTCTGGATTTTTTGCAGCATTTATGACACATTTGGATACATCATTAAGCTGCAACTTCTGTGCAGGTGATGTTCTTCCACCACCACCTGACAGGCCTTCGTGTGACCTGCCGAGAGCCGGAAGCAGTTTGCCAAAATCACTCTCAAACCTCTCAGTTTGATTTCTCTCCACAGCATTTCCGCCCCTGCTGTTCAACTGTGAACCTATAATAGATGTTACTGTCAAATCTGAAGTGCCAGCTTTGGCAAAACCATCAAGTTCAGGCGTAACTAAAATGGGATCAGTGCTTATATCAAGCAGTGGCAATGTATACCCAAAACTATCAGAACCTGCTGCATCACGCCTGATATCTAGTTCAATGCTCTGAAGGTTACAACATGGCACCTCCACAGGGATTAGTGTACCTGGAGCACCCATTAGATCAATAATGTATTCGCTGCAAAAACGAAACAATAAGCTAAATTATTAGTATTTACCTCTTTTCGAAAGTATAGATGTATGTACTCTACCTTTTAAAACTACAAAAAAAAACTATTGGTGGTTGATAAACAGTGAGTTGGGAAGGCAATAGAAGTGTGGAAACAAATCAGCTTCAAAATGATGCACGCATCACATCTAAAGCTCTGATACTTAAACAAGACATAACAGAAGGTCAAAGACTACTGGAGATGTAATGTCTACCTAACAAACAAAAAAAGAACAGTAAGTAGCACTGAAGAGCAAGTAACAACGATTACACAGCCTTTCCCATTTTAATGAAGTAAATTTATAGGATAGGAGCAACGAGAAATAAAAGTGGATTGTGAACTCATTTTCGGATTACGTTTTCCCTTGTCACATAACTTTTCTACAAATGAACCCACAGTTAGCTTTACAACAGAAAAGGCAAAAGCACCTCTAACAAACCACAACAGCACTTTTGGTTGATGCAGATCACTATCTACGTCTAACTCACATGAAAACTAACACCCGTTCCTAGTACCCATAATTGTAATTATATAAGCAAATTATAATGAAATTGGACATAAAGATCAGAAATACAGCATGGGTGTAGAGACAGCCAGACACACATGTACCTGGTATGTCTCATACATATAACGTATATACACCTATAATAACAAACATGACACATGCATATACATAAAATAGTCTGCCATAAACATATGTATACCTACACATGGATACACACACACATATATATATGCTCAAGGTCTGTTCCTAGTGTTAGGGTATAGAAAATACAGGCATGCAAATACCTAAAAAAGTTGCCATTAAGATCTCAAAAGACTACACATACATGTGTATACACCCTCACATGCATAAACTAACAAACAGGGCACTGCATATACATGTGCTAACATATTTATCTAACACCAGAGACTGGTTCCAATGCTACGATGTAAAGAATATGCATACAAATAATAAAGTTCCTATAATAATTCAAAAGACAACATATATGTACACGCACACGCACATGCACACACATACAGATACATATTTCTATTTTATAGCATCTGCATAAGCATCTGCTGAAACTGATTTCAAAAAAGGCATGAACACCCATACCTCCCATTATCAATCTTAATCAAGTTCACAGCTCCATCATCAGTGCCAGTATAGTAGCTCCCTTTGACCAGACTACATGCAAGGTTGATCTTATCAGCAAGTACCTACCATCAAATGTATAGTTTTTTATGCATATCAAATATATAGGTTTCTCTAATGCACATCTAAAATATAGTTAATGTGCTTGAGAAAGGCAAAGAAGTACTATGTTGTCCAAAATATTCACCAATTCCATTTTGAGATGTCTCATTGATTCAACATTTCTTCCATGGGAAATCTCACCCTCATAGTACCTATTTGTCCAATCTAAATCATTATAAAATATTGATGGTATTAACTGCTCCATGAACTTCCCCCCATTGTCATTATTTGAAGGCATTTTACACATTTAACTGAGTCAAATAGTTCTATGTGCCAAGTCAAACGTTGTATTTTCTTTGGTGCAGAGAGTATATGAACAGACAGAAAAGAACAAAATGATATGCTTAAATCATCCGTTGCAGCAACAGTTTAGAGCATTGTATTACAGACCTCCATGATACGATCTTGAATGCTTGATTATGAAATAGAGAAAGGGTCGATACATAAAGAAGATATACAGATTGAACTTTTTCAGTGGGTATATGTTTTAAAATCAGTTAACTCTAAACTGAACCTCGCTAGCAGCTATCCATCTGCACCAAAACTATACTCTACGCTTATCAGACACCTTAAATTTAAGGCACAATGATATAATGAAGAATCACTTTGAAGGAAGATATAAGACAAAAACATAGACGATATTTTTCTATATAATACAAACTATAACTCTTTACTTGCTACTAGAATCATATGATAACCAACCAGCTAAATACGTGCACCTACTTTATAATGCAAGTATGACCAGCATGCCCTGGGACTCCAATGACAAAAGGAAAAGGAGACAGGTTATAAATTGCACTGGGAAAGAGATCTTATTTCTCTTGATTACATGACCAAAAAGCACTTCAGCAGGGAAAAATAAAATAAAAGAAATAAGTTAGATGACAGAAGGACTAAAGACATCTAAACATATGGTAAGCATGCATCAACTTCATGCAATATATATTATGTTATGAGATATGTACAGAGTAATGCACATGTAACCAACTTAAAAACCAAAATTTTGAAAGGAGGCAGAGCCATAAAATGATAAAATACCTTAAAAAGCAAGGCCCGGTGTCGGGAAAGTCCACAATCAATACAACCAAGAGGAAGTATGATAGTTTTATGAGTGTTCCGTAATTCATAACTTCTAGTAGTCCACCTTCTCAACATTTCATCTGCATCACTAACAGGACCACCCATTTGTGCAACAACAATATTAGCAATTCTCTGGATTACCCTACTTATAATCTGGCTAGTCCCAGAAGCGTGGCATTCCAGTGATATATTTGAAACTCTTTCCTCAAGGAGCTGTAGTTCCTTATCAATTGTTCTGTCGACTAAAATTACTTCAAAATCAACATTATCATAAACGGTTTTGGCTTGAAGATCCACTAATGAGGGCATTTTCCCTTGTGTGACTGAATTTGAAGTAATCCCATACACATCGTAAAACCCATCCATCACTTTCTCGTCATAGTTTACAACATTATTACTCTGCAAATACCAAACACAATCATTAATCACATACTAAATGCATCATAAAACCCATTCATCACTTTCTCATCGTAGTCTACATCCAAAAAAGAAACAAAATCCCGAAGTCCAATTTTAGACTCCTTTATAGAACAATTCGGTGCTTAGCGCTGAGATAAGCTAAATGAATGCTGAGCACATTCAAGTTCATATAAAATCTTACTGACCGAAACACTTAGGTCAAGCATAGACTTGAAGAAGTGAATTGCAATTACGATTAAATGCAATGGGTTGAGGTAATCTTACAAAAGAAGAAAAAAGAGGACTCGGAAAATTGAATATCTTACCCAATATCGAAGCGAGAGAAATTCAATGAGAGATTCCGAAGGGGAACATCCCAAACTTCTTTGTTTAGCGGCTTTAATTTGTGCAGTTTCAGCGTCGGGTTCACGCGCCTCAGCGGATCCCGATGAGACACTAATCGCGAGAGCAAGCTGCATCTGAAATTCCTCCTCGAAGAAATTGAAATCAACGGCGGAGGAGTCGTTGTTGTCAACAACAGCCAAAGAATCAACGGTAGGTAATGGAGAAGGAGAAGAGGAGGAGTGAAACTGCGTTGTGGCTGGAGGCTGTGATGGCGTGTCGGTGGCGGCCAATCGGTGGTTGTGGTCGTTGAAACCACCACCGATGTGAAGCTTTCGCAGCAGATGCTTCATCTTGGACATGGATTCGCATGGAAAACACGGTATTGCAGGCAGTTTCTCGCTGGAAGGAGGTTAACCTGCGCCACACTTGTTCGTCAAGCTACCCTGTGAGAAGGGGAATTAAATTAACCGCTCCAATCCATCTTCCTCACCTCTTCCATTTCTTCTCATATAAATATTTTTTGTTGTCAATAACTCATTACCTTATAAAACATTAAAGTAAATATCATAAAAACTGAATTTGAATTTGTTTTCACCATTACATCCTAACCTAAACCTTCCTTAAAAATTCCTCAATTAAGTTATCTCACATGAAGGATATTTTAGTCATTTTAATCATTTCTTTTTCATTTGTATAGGTTATGACCCACCTTATTAACTTACACAGCATATATGTATCCTCATTCTTCGGCAGCCCCTATCCTTCCTCATAAACCCAAACACAAACGATCTATCTTCGATCCCTAATTGATCAAGAACAACAAACACTTATTTCGTTGTGTTTGGGTTTTCTTGTTCGCCAGTCGGTCGCTAATGATAGCAAGGGAAAAGGAATGAAACTGAGGTCACTAGTGATGGCCTTGATCAATTTGCCATGGGGGCCTTGTTTTTTTGATTTTAGGTTTGGCACACATTATATGCTTAAGTTTTTGAACTGAACTAACCATAATCGGCGAATTCATAAACCTAGAATGAAGAATCCAAGGAAAACCCTTAACAACGAAGATGGATTATTTTTTCATCTACATTTCTTTAATTGTTTCTTCGGGATTTTTTTGATTAGTGGCAAAAGATTGGAGTAGAAGTAGAAGTAGAGGGCTAGGCAATATCGAGATTTCTTCCAAAGTTAGTCATCGTTGCTTTTCATCACTCTTAATATATGGAGATGACGGTGGAATGTCACCAATAGATATGGATGTCGTCGGAGTAGGGGGCGACAAGCAGTGGCGGATGCAGAAAAATATATTGTAGAGGGCATGATATAAGATAAAATAATAATTAACTTCAATTTCATACAAAAATTATAAAAAATTACCTCTTACAATTGTGCCCTACGACTCTTCATCTTTTGAAATTGAGTAATTACATCATCATTTGAAACTGTGAGAAGTGCTTCTTTTTCTATAGTACATATCATTGTAGCATTCAAAAATTCATCACCGAATTTGTTGCGCAAATCTGATTTCACAATCTTCATAGCAGAAGAACATCTTTCGACTGTTGCGGTAGCACTGGCAAAACCAAAGCCAACTTCAATAACCGATATACTAGAGGATAAGTTTTATGCTTTTTTGTTTCCACTAGCAATCTAGCGAGCTCGGCAATACCACTCAAATTGGCAAATCTTTCATCTTGACGCACTATCAAATAGTACATGTTAAGTTGTTTCTCAAGAGTGATCCTTTCCATATGACTAAAATCTTGAGGATACAACTCACTCAACTACAATAAATCTGATACATTGAACTGCAAAAATGAATCGCATAGACTCAAAGTTGCTATATTTTTAAGCAATTCAGTACTTACCTACTAAATCGATCCCCAAACTCTTGAATTTGTATATCCACAACAGTGTTGAAAATATCAAACTTGTAATAATGACCATTGGTGATGTTGGTCCTTTATCTTCTGTTTTTTGAATAACGGTCTTCCATATCCAAAGATTTAATACCATTTGCTTCACAAAAAGAATACATTTTCTTCAAAAGTGGATCAAAACCAGTTTATCTAAATTGTTACAATAGTTGTTTGGTTCCTCTTATCAATGAAACCGCTTCCAAAATATCTTGATCTTTTTTTTGAAGAGCCCGTGACAACAAGTCTGTGACCTCTAAAATATGAAATATCAAATGCAAATAAATCACGAAATCAAATATGTTAAAATACCAGTTGCTTGAGTGCGACTAAAACCATTATCCTCTTCCTCTTCAGCATATCGGAGCACTTCAACAACATTCGAAAACAAAGCAATCAAGCTCAAAATGGTTTTGTAATGAGAATCTATCGTGTATCTCTGGCTCGTATAAGAGAAAAGCTCTTGGTATTTCCATATTCCAGTATCAATTTCACACTTACCAATTGCTTCTTGCACTCTGTCTTTGTAACTTTGTCAAAGCATGTCTTTACGCTTGCAAGAAGCATTCACCACATTGATCACCATTCCTAACATATTAAAAAAGTTCTCAACTTCGTCATGTTTATTTGCAACCGCCACAACAACTAATTGAAGTTGGTGTGCAAAACAATGGATATAATATGCCGAGCTATTTTCATTCAAGATCAAGGCCAATAATCCATTGAACTCACCGTGCATATTGCTTGCTCCATCATAACCTTGCCCTCTTACCTATTTCAAACTCAATCCATGTTCAGCAAATAAAGTATCAATGGCAGATTTAAGAATTGAAGAAGATGTCCTCGTCACATGAACAATACCAAAAAATCTCTCCTTAACAATACAATGTGCATCAACATATCGTAAAACCACCGTCATTTGTTCCTTCTTAGAAACGTCACTAAACTCATCAACTAGCTATGAGAACACATCATCACCAACTTCTTTACGAATGGATTTGAGTATTTGATTTGCAAAACAAGCAGCAATATCTTTTTGAATACTTGGAGACACCATTTGATTATTCTTTGGAGCTTTAATATAACTTTACCTACATCCTCATTGCAATCACCAATTAAGGCTAATGTTTCTAAGAACATGCCTTTAGATATAGACATTTCAGATTCATCGTGACCACGAAAGGGCAATGCATTCTTCAACAAGAATCTACAAGCCTTAATTGAAGCATTTAATCATATTCGGTGCTTATTCTTCTCTTTCTCAGTTTGCTTATGAAAGGCAACGACAATAGATCGATCTTGGCTCATTAGATCCTCACATTTCTTAAGTGCTCTATTGTGAAAACTATTAATGTCGCCAACATGAAGACCAAGTCTATTCGTTTTATTCCAACTATTAAAGCCATCTGTTACAAAAGCATCACTCCCACATTGTCCTACGTAATGATCTCTAAATAAATAACAACACAAACAAAAAGCTCTATCCATTTTTATATTATACTCCAACCAATTAGTGTATTGATCAAACCAAGCCGGACAAAAACGTCTTCCTTTACTTCCGACATATTTTTTTGGAAATGCATGACCCCGTGGTTGACAAGGTCCTCTAAGCAAGTATTTTCTTCTTATTTCATCCCTTTGATTAGGATGATATTCCGAAATCTTTTTTCTGTCGGCTGGATCTCAAGGAAGATCGTTCAAATCAATTTAATAGGGCATCGAAGGAGCAGAGCTCGATTCAAGTGTTGATGCTTTCTTTTTAAAAAATCTTTCCATTTTTTCAAGCAATAACAAGATAAAAATCAATGGTTTATCTTTATCAATAGTAATATTTTCATTTGCCTACAAAATTTCAAAATTAACATAACATTTCCATTTTCCTACAAAATTGCAAAATTAACCTAATATTTCCATTTGTCTATAAAATTGCAAAATTAACCTAACATAAGGCATTTATCAAATCATCAATTGTGAAGCAAACAACAAATTAACCTAACATAAAGCATTTACCAAAATTAACCTAACATAAAGCATTTACCAAATCATCAATTGTGAAGCAAACAACAAAAATACCTAACATAAAGCATTTACCAAAATTAACCTAACATAAAGCATTTACCAAATTAACTTAACATAAAGCATTTACCAAATCATTCAAAATTAAATATTGAAATTTGGAAATCAAAAATTTTACCCAAATCAAATTAGAGAGTGGAGTAGCCAAGTAGGCAAGCAAGCAGTAAGGAAGAAGCAACCAAACTCGCAGGGAAGAAGCAGCCAGGAGCCAGCGCCCAACGGCCCAGCCGACGGCCGAAAAAGAAGAAGCAGGCAAGCAGCTTAGCAGCCAGGCGCTGTATCGCACGATGCACCGCCTGCACGTAGGGAAGAAGCAGACGCATGCAGGGCAACAGGCAACTGGCAAGCAAGGATGTAATGGAATGGGTGAAGTCGTTCATGAATCGTGAGTTTGTGACTGTGATTGTGATTTGTGAAGGAGGGAAATGGAATGGGTGGGGCCTTCATACTTATCTTGTTGGGGGCCCAAACCAAATTAAGTTAAAAACTATATAAAAAAATTAGGCTTTCTACACTTCATTTTGTTGGGGGCCAGGACCCCAATGAAGTCTATATGCATCCGCCCTTGGCGACAAGAGTTGCAAAGATGGACGATGAAGGGATGGAATAGCCGGAGTTGGGAGTGGCCTGAGATGGGGGTTGGGGCCGGCTAATGGGAGGCTATGATGAGGAAATGTGGGAAAGAAGTGGTTAAGTGGGTTTTCTTTTCTGCTTATTAAGATGTTCTGGTGCAAGACTTTTGACACTAGCATGAAATATTTGTAAACTTAATTTTTTAATAAAAAATAACCAAAATACCCCCTTAGGTGACTATCACATGAAGGTACTTAACGACTCAAATTGACAGAAGTTTGAGGGAGGGACGATCCATGCATGAGAATTTAAAGGTTGTGGTGTCCGATAGAAATTAGAACACTAATGGCAATTTGTAGAGTTTTAGTATACATTAGGGACGATTTGTATAATTCACTTTAAAAATGATATAATCGCAACAAAAAGCTAAAGACGGATATTATGGTAACTGCGAAACAATTAGTTAAGTGACACCAAGTAAAAGTTGTTGATGCGGCATAAATATCTATAGTTATATTATGTTATAAAGTATTTGAGTTTTTGTTCCTAAGAACTCTTAGGGGGCGTTTGGTTTGATGTAATGGTTTGGAGGGATTTGGATTTAGAAAGATTTGGAATTTTTGGTATGTTGGTTCGTAGGATTTCAGTTCCATTCGTTATAAATAATTTATTAAAATAATTATAAATAATTAAATTATCTATTAATTGATTATTACAGAACAAATGTTTTAACCTATTTTAAAACATTATTACATACAAATCCTACTAAATCTCATGAAATACCAACTACACACGTGAGATTTCAAAATCTTATGTTTGTGGGATTTCATGAAATCCTGGGGTTTCAAATCCAGATAATTCTTTAAACCAAACATGAGATTGGAATGAA